ACAGGAGGCAATCATTTCGTGCAGAAAACTTACAGAACCATCTTATGGTTAGTGTTTATCGTAATTCCTTTTTTATTAGAAATTATACAACATATACAAGTTTGCATATGTGTGCATCCTGGTGCATATACATCAAAAATGTTTGCCAATGTTTTTACCAATATTATGCATATATATGCACATATTTTACCATTTATTGTATATTAATACAGGTAGTAAAGAAAAAAATTTAAAAAAAAAACATTTTTTTTTTTAATTACTTATTAAAAGTTGATTTTATCGAAAAGTGCTTATAGCAATATTTATAGCACATTCTTTTTGTTAGTTTTACTCATGCCTTCCAGCATATCCCCTATTATCTACAAGTCTTCTCTTAATTTTTTTATAACTTTTTATTTTTGTTTTACAGGAGTTGGCCGTATCTAGGATTTTTATTGCCCTAAAAAGGGTTACCTACCTAGACTTCGTTGCCCGTCCCTAACCACTTGGAGGTCCCTGTAAATTTATTTAATTGTCTTGTTTAAAATTTTACTTAACTTTCTTTTTTGAATTTTACTGCAAAAATTTCCGAAAATGCTTCTGATATTTTTTTCTTGTAAACATTGAATTTTGTTAACAGGCCAAATAATAATTCCTTTTGATTCCAATAAATTTTTAAAGTCTTCTCTTTCAATTTTGAATTCTTCACATTCATATAACAAATGTTCAGCACTCTCTATTTCGTTTTCGCGTATACACATATTTGTTTCACTTTTTTTAATTTTATAAGAATAAGAATTGAAAAGTCCTCTATTGGTTATAATTTGTATAATACCCCTATTTATATATTCCAAAATTTCCATTTTAATCTATTTATTATGTTTGGTATGTATTGATATGTTTCCCTCCCCTTGTCCGATTGATCCCATTCCTCTTGCCATTTATTTAAATAATATTGTTCAATTTGTTTTTTAATTTCGACTTTTGTTAATTTTCCTTTTTCCTCTTTAAAGTTTTCTAAATTTTTATGTGCTTTTGCCGGATGTCCAAAGTTAATTTTTGTTTTATTTTTTATATAATATTACAATTTATTATGTCTTCTCCTAAAATAATATTTTGATCTTTTTTCAAATTATAATTTTGAATTTTTAAATTTATCTTTAATATAATAGGCATTATTCCGGAAATAATTGTTATTGAATTTGTTGCAGTTTTATCATATATATTAAAAATTCTTCTTAGAATGTAAGATTGAATACTTATAATTTTTCTTTCTAATTTTTTAATTCTATTTCTCCATCTCACAACTCCATATAACAATGCTGGCTCCAATACTCCCTTATAAATAGTTATTAACGTCTTCTTATTTAATCCCCAATTATCCTTACGTCCTTAAGTCCAAAAATACTTTTGAAATAATTGTTTTATTTTACTCGAAATTTTGTCAATATGCATATTAAGTTTTAATTTTTCCTTAATTGTTATCCCTAAATATTTTATGTTATTTACCATTTTTACTTTTTATTATAAATTTTGATTTTTTTATTATTTCATTTCCGGAAGTTTCTAATTTTTTTCTTGAGTTTTCTTTTATAATAAAAATTTTGTCATCTGCATATGCAATTTCCGTTACACTATTTTGAAAACTATTATTAAAAATTGTGTTCCAAAAAGTAGGTGCCAGTACTGACCCTTGTGGACAACCTTTGCTAATTTCTTTTGTTATTTTTTGGTATTTATTGCTGTATATTGTAATTCTATCTGTCAAATAACTTTTAATAATTGTTTGTATTGATATATCGCATTTAATTTTTCCTAGTTCATATAGAATAACCGGCCGCCATACATTGTCGAACGCACCAACTATATCTATTGATATTCCTAAAACATATTTTTTTTGTGAATTTTCAACATTTTTAAATAATTCCAAAATTGCATCTTCCGTCGATATTTCTTCCCTAAATCCAAATTGTTTATTTGATAAAATTTTGTTATTTTCCAAATAATAATTCAATCTATTATTTAATACTTTTTCCAATATTTTTCCTAAACAACACAACAACATTATTGGTCTATAACTTTTTATATTTAAAGGATCTTTTCCTTCACCTGGTTTTTTTATAATTATCAAGTCACTTTTTTTCCAACAATTTGGAAAATAGCCAAATTTCAAACATGAATTATATAAAATTTTTAATTTTTTTCTAATAAAAGGATAATTTTTTTTTATAATTTCGCTATTTATTAAGTCAGGACCAGGAGCTTTTTTTTCTTTTTGTTTGTATACTGCCTCAGAAATTTCACTATGAGTAAATTTTCCGAAATTATCGCAATTTTGAGTTTCAGTTTCTAAAAATTTTCTTTTATCTTTTTGTAATTTTGTTGTTTCAATTAAATCGTCATCTGTTATTAAATTTGTTACTAATTTTTCTTATGAATAGAATAGAATTTATCACGAAAACCACCGACTTAAAAGCAATTGAGCAACCTGACCACTCTGTGTACAGTATAATGCATAATACCCCCCAAAAACGAAGTATTTCATAAGCACCCGCGGGATTCCGTTACAAAAGAAATTTTCTCTATCAGGGGAGTACAATGAATGGATACTGGGCGGGGTTTCTTTTTGTTTAAATGTATCAGGAAATTACAATTCGGATGAGGTAGACCTTTTAATATCCCTTTTGTGACCATGTGATGCCACTGGCTGCTTATTTCAATGGTTCCACCTCGACTGTGTTGGACTAAAGTCACTTTCTAATAGAGAATGGTTTTTTCCACATTGTCTTCCGCGTTCGAAAAGTTTGAAGACCACGTAAAGAGCAGTGAAAAGGTCTGTTATTACTTTCCCCACCCCCTGACTCATCTGGTCCTGATTCTACACAACGCCAATCCCTTCATTCATCCGCCATGCTATGGACTAATAACCCTCAGACAGTGGAGACTTCTTCACCTAAGGAGTCAGAAGGCTCTTATGCGCTTGGACTCTCCTGTACTAAATATGGTTGAATTTTGAGAACTGATAACAATCCCCTTCCCAGCCATAACCACCAGACCCTTGGGCTCACAATCGGAAGGAGGTTGTTTGACGAACAAGAATGGAAGCCCTTCTTTCCATACTCAATAAAATTTCAACGTCCTTGTCAAATGAACCACTTGAGAAAAAAATTGTTTCTTTTCCCATATTAATGGTTACCAAATTCCTTTAAGTCAGGCCGACTGAGGAACAAAATTGTTACGCGTTATTCGGTGGCAGAGAGATTCATCATGGAATTTTCCATTGTAACAAGTGGTCGCTTTAGAAACTTTTATTTTTTAAAATTGAACGTTGTTCAACATATACCGCTTCATAGCGAACGTGAACAAAAGTATGTTTTGAAAAAGAGTGATGACAAAGTGTACGTTTCGAGATATGTGAAGAGAGACCCCGAATTATAAGAAGGATTTCGGCAGACGAGGTTAGCCTTTCGGTTATCATGTGGGAAATTTATTTTTCGCATTATTCCGATTTTTCGAAGCTGTTTCGCGAGCGGTTAAGCACCATTTAAGGTACGATGACATTTTCGTTTTGTGATAGTTTATCTAGTAGCTGTAAGATTTTAAAAGCTTTATTTTGAAGAACGAATGATTTCCAACGACAAAGTTCAATCCCCTCTCGTTTCACGAAAATTCCAGCACATTTCAATAGTTGGTTCTTAACCGGGTACAATTGTTACTAATTCACTCACTTATGTGTGCTAATTTTTTGTTTCTCTACAACTTTCACTCTGACGAAGCTCGATCGAAATTTACCGCCGCAACAGAATTTTTGCTAACGTAACTGAGCAACGAGCAAAGTGTTATCTCGAGGCTTGATCCGTAAAATCTGAACTGTGAACTGCAGTGGCCTAGAATTATCGCCTTTTGCAATACGAGGTTCAATAATTAAGTCAACAATTTTTCTTTAAAAGTCAATCAGGATCGCTGTACTCCCAGGGTGCAAAGCTGCGAAATTTTTAGATCAGCTATCTTTGCAACAAAACCCTACTAAGATGAGATTACCTCCTATATCTCTGACTTTCTGGAGCCGAGAATTTCCTAAAGCTATTAAGAGGAAAACGCGCTATAAAAATCAAATGACGCAGAAGAGAAAACACAAGGTCCAGGTCAAATTTGGGCATTCTTAGAACTCGTCATTAAATTCTCTACAATAATGCTTTGACAGGCAGGACCCGTAGTTTGGATGCTACATGCGAATTTCGGAAAAATTATCGTCTCTAGATAAGTCCTTAGGATGTGTTGTTTAAGAGCTATTAGCGAAGAAGTGAGAGACAGCCTGAAACGTTTTTGGGGCACCATAAGTTATCCTCAACCCCTCTGGAGGGGTACATACTCAGATTACTCGTTTTCAAGACTATCTTAGGGTTTTAAGACAATTAAATGGTGCACAAAAATTTGTGTAAGTTTGTATCCTCGGGGTTGATGGTTTTAGCTAAGAGTAGAATTTGTATTAGTAGGGGATGCATCGTTTTATGTTCACTATGCAAAATCATCCCTTACATCTCGAGTGACTCTCCTAAAGGTGCCTACCCGTACAAGGCGAAGAAGGTCAGTGCAATTGCGTATGCGAGACATTGCTTTCGCGTAGAGAAGGGTCTCTCTTTCTCCATCTGCGGTAAAGGTCGAGTGAGGGTGGATTTTACTCATAATTAATTTTGGTGATTGATACAAGTTTCAGATACCCAAGAAATAAAGCATTGTACGTAAGCTCTCACGACGTTTCATATCCGGTAAAAGTCCGAACTCGGCCATTATCGACACCTTCAATCCGCAATAAAGGCCTGCCAAATGATCTAATTACGTCAAATTCCATTATTCGGTCACGATCTACACCAACAATGGACGTTGTGAGATCTTTCCCATTAGTAAACGTCGAACAATTGCGACGTTAATTAATTTGAATGGAAAGTGTATCGATAACAAATAATAAGTCATTGTGAGATAATCATAATTACGGGACACCCTCTGGCGATCGCAGCGGTCTACTCACGCGAAATTTTGCAACTCACCTCGTCAAGAAATCGCTCCGCTTGTTCCCTCTGGTGCTTGCGAACGACGGCGGTGTAAGGACTGTCGTCAATCGGAAGATTGTTGCTATTTCCACTAGGATCGTCGGGATCAGGGGGTGTCGTCGGGAACAGGACAGGTCCGCGATTTCCGTTGGTTTCGTAGCCCGATACTTCGTAGGGATGGGGGTTGAAGTGGCGCGGTTGCAAGTAAATGGAGCGCTCCGTCTCCTCCAGCGCGAAACTCAACCCCGCGAGGAACAGTACCTTTAAAATAATCAATCATTTCACTTTAATTACAATTTCTAATCAAATTATCGACATTAGTTAATTAAATTCCTACGGTTTAATTTCGCTAATTTATACTTGATTAATGGTCGAATTCGAATTTTATCTAACGAAGTTTCACTTTCTGGACAGAGTGTATCCCTAGCCTACTACAACAGAAGGAGGAGAGCAGGCAAAGAAGATTTATAAAAATGTTGCCTTATTTTGAGCTTATTAGAAGTAGGTACTGATTTTAGAACATGGACTTAGCTATTTTTATAATTACTGGAAATAGTGACTGTGAGTGCTTTTTCTATCCTAAGATTTTAATGAAGCGGAAGCAGAAAACCCTCGATAGTCTCCACACAAACGAGATAAGGAACTTTTCATTTAATTTACAGAAAGCTCCAATTTTTGCTCAAATCAAGGTGAAGATTTTGGGACTCACAGAGAAATCAACACTAATGGTGGTTGTTAACCACGATCCGAAGGGAGCATAAAGACCTGGATCGTCAGCGGAATTCATAGTCCTGAGGAGGGGATGGTTTCCCTCAGTTTCAAATAGTGCCGTCACAGGAGAAGAGCCCTGCACTTTGCTTCTCACTGTGGTGTGGTTGGAAGAGCTACAGAAAGCACCCTGAGAAGCTACGGTTTCACGAAGTCAAAGACTTTCCGAAACCGGTGAAGACCATGGTATGGATCTCCGGGCATCCACAGGCACCCGAAAAAGTGTTCAATCGGTTGAACAAGCAAAACCCGGGCGTAACCACTAAGGAGTATAGATCCGTGTACAGCGAGAATCCCAAAGATCAAGAGCGCCTGATGACAAAACTTCTTAGGGCGAGTTTTGGAGGGCACCGTTCACAACTTCTCTATGATTATCTTTAATGCCATTGGGAAGCACAAGGCTGAGGAACGAGAGAAAAGCTACTCGTGGCGAACGAGTTCAAGGTTCCTTTTTGGATCCCATTCCTCCTCATGCGCTCGCTATCGGAAGCCTCTCTCTCTTTCTTTCTCTCAAAGGGTGCCACAGAGTTTTTAAGTTTTTACTATAAATGCTTCCTAAAGATCTTTAAAAACTTCTAAAAGACCAGTAAGCTCTTCCATGCTCGTAAACCTATACGTGCTCAAGAAAATTAAAAGAAGGTCCACTTCTTTACTATTGCTCTTGAATGCTTTCAAACGGTAGATGCATCTAGAAGGCTCTTGGGAACACTCCGAACGCCTCCAAATTTTTTGACGAGGGCGGAGTTGATACAACAATGTAAGAAAACTACTTTGACCAGAAAACCCCAGAGACTCTTAATGGGTTACTAAGATAATCAAATTATTCTTAAACATCAATTAAAACACAATCTGTTTTAAAGGCTCTGCTTCTGGTTGTTTTTGAGAATTGACGACTCTAAAAGTACAAGTAATTTCGTAAAGGCTCAGATCATTAAGAAAATTAAAAGCTTTGAAAAACTAATTTTTGCATACTTAGATTAGATCTTTTGAGAGTCCATACTATTAAACGGTTAAAGGCTTTTCAAAATTAAGGCCTCGTGCAAACTAATCATTTAGAAAGTTCTGAAGGCTCTAAGGCTGTAGGCAGCTGACAGCAGTTAAAAGGCTTAAAGCGATTAAAGGCTCATGAAATTTATTATTTAGATTATAAGGAATATAACTAAAAGTCTTGTGATGAGTGTTTCGAATATAGTTCTTAAGGCCTTTCCTACTTTTAAGGGCTCACAAGGTCCTTTAGAATTTCCTGGGGTGTTTTTAATGACCTTTAAATGCCCTTGGGTATCCTTTTAAATTACTAGCTGCTTAATATCTTAAAGGCTCATGTGTCTAGTTAAAAGTTCTCAGCTTAGAGACTCTAAACACGAACACTAAAATCTAATAAAGAAGCGAAAAGCTCTGGATCCCCTTGAAGATTTTCCAAGGTCGTAAAGAACCTTTAAGGATTAGTATAGACCCTTAAGATCTTCGCAGTTAAACTACAACCAAAACCGCAAAGCGATTTTATCTTCTCTTTTCTTTAGTATCCCCCTCATGCACTTCTCACCTCTTTCAGCACCTCACTCCTGCATCTCCCCGTACTTTCCACTTCCTTTGGAGCTCCATAGCTATAATGTTCATATCTCTACAGATTCTGCATTTTCTTTCTTCCTCTTGTCTCCATTTCTCCTTCCCTCTCTCTTCATTTCCACATCTGAATCGCGTGTCCGATATAATCCCTTTATTCTATCTTTTAACTTTTTGCCTATTGTCCCACCTTCCCTTCTTTCTCACATTTTGTTGGATTCCTCATTCTTTCCTTTGGCCATATCTGGAAAGAAAATCCAAGCCTTATCTCTCTCTCTCTCGTTTTCACTTTCTTCAGTCTTTTTAGTTGCATCTCTTATTATCTCATCTCTTTCAACATCTCCTCTTCCTACCTCTTCCATAGCCTCCTCTTTCTCCTCCTTATCTTGTAGTAACTTAATAAAATGTTGTTTCCATTCCGGTAACTGTATTTCCCTCCCACTTGTTCTATTTTATTTTTCTTTTGCTTAACACCTTCAAAAAATCCTCCGTATCTGTTTTTATTTCGCTATTTGCCCTTCTTATTTCACCTGTTTCTCCATATTTTTTTCTTTACATTTTCTTTTGTATTTTTTTCCATTCGTTCACCTCTTTCTCCTGTATTTCCCTTCTTCCTTCTTTCTCCATCATTTCCTTATATCTATTTCTGTCTGCTGTATTCTATGCCCCACCACTCCTTTCTCCCCTCTCCATCCCTTTAATTATTAATTATTACTTCTTTTTTTAATATCTTTATATTATTCCAACCCTCTTCCCTCATCTCTATCTCCCTCCATATTTCAATTTAAAATTCTCCAACCTCTCTTTTCTGATTCCAGTAATACTTAACCCTCTTTGTTGCACCCTTGACTTTCTATCTTGTGTTCCTCTTCCCATATTTCTACGAGCATTCTTTAATTTCTGTTCTTGGTCACTCTTCACCCCTTTTGTCTATCATATCTTCTATTTTATTTTTTAGGTCTTTAATTCCTTCTGTTTTGTAAGTCGTTCTGATTCTCATTTTATTCCCCACCACTTCTACTTGGCTGACCTGTATCCCTTCTTTCTCTTTCGATTCGTCTCCGCATTCTCTTATCCTTTTTGTTATCCTTTTACATTACATATTCCTTTTCGCAAATTGGTTCCTTGATATGTGTTAGATTTTGAAGAGATTTTGAAGAGGTTTTGAAGAGATTTTGAAGAGATTTTGAAGGGATTCTAAAGAAATTTCGAAGAAATTTTAAAGAGATTTTGGACAGATTTTTGGAGTTGAGACAATCACGCAAAATGGATTGGAGAGGGTTGAGATTCGATCGACCAAGAATCATCACCCCTGGAAGAGAGACACCAATGAGAGAGAAGAGACCCGAAGGCAAGTGAATTACTTTTAAGGGGGTTATAATAATTACAACAATTATACAAGAGTAAGAAGGAGTTATGGAATTATGAAAAAAGAAGAGGATTTGAGTCGCCACAGTCGGAACATTACCGATCCAGAAACCAGGAGCTCCACAGGTTCCTCAGCAGACGCAGCGAGCTTGGGAATACACCCAACAATTCAACTGAATTATTTTTAAAAAAGCCAATCCAGAAAAAATCAATACTAGAAGACAAGAAAAGAGAAGAATTAACACAGGAAATTCCGTAGAAACCAGTGAAGTTTATGACTAATAAAATCAAAATTTGAGTAAATTAATTCAACAATTAGGCCAAATTACGCAAGAAATTGAAGAAGGAATGGTTAACAATTAAAAACTGGCAAGTTTTTTGTTCCTCTGTCCGTATATCAATTACTTTTTGAAACAAAAATTTGTATTGGGGTAGAATGCAGTAAAGGTGATTTACGGTTCACTTTTCTCCTATTGGCACATCCTGTCAACCACACACAAAGTATAAAAAATAGCAAAGGAGATGAAACTAATCCATTCAATTCAATCAGTCAAAAGAGAAGATAATTGCTTTGAAACTTATTCCTAATCGTCACTGACGTGGTGTTGCCAAAAAAGTCTAGAATTACCTTTTAAAATTCCCCAAAATAACTGAATTTTTTGTACTTATTTCTAAAGACACGTGTTTCTTTGCACTAGATTATCCACTGTATTCTAAATATAACGCTAGTATTATATATTAACATTATATATGTAACTATAACTATAAATAGCTGTAACTAATTTATAATTTAAATTTCCCGCTGAGTTTAGGGCGCGAAATTCAAATATTCAGAATTGAAAAAATCAATTATTACCTGAATAAGCTGCATGACAGACTCGGCGCGCACTTGACCACTTAAAACTGAAGACACACCATCGCGACCGTTCAAAAATTCAACAACCTTAACACGGAGAAAGACAATAATAATGACGCGGTTACCTAATAACGGCTAACCGTCATACACAGTGGGAATTATTATACAAATAGTCTCACAGGATTGCAACGTGATTTACTAACATATTAACCGTTCCCACCTCTTTCTTAATTATGCGGACAGTTTTAATGTAAATAATTTTATAATCGTGTGCACTACTTTTTAATGCATGTGTAATTTTGCGTCACCGCCGAAAGGCTTTCTCTCGGTGACTTATTTGACAAACTGTGCATATAGGTACCTCGTATTCGGTTAATTTCCCTTAAGACTGAACGCTTGAATAAGTAAGGAGTTTATTGCGTTGACAAAAAAATTCCGTAAGGATACGTGTGTGCGTGGATGGCTATTATGATGTAAACAACTTAATCATTCGCGGTGAATGTCTTCGAGAAGGATGAAAGGAGCACAATAGGAAGGACAGTAGGGCGAAGCTTGCAAAATCATGTATTTTAAATTGCTTTCAAATAAAACACCCTGTACTGCAATTTCTCTATTCTTCCAGTTCGTCCTCTTCTTGGGATGGTTCAATTTTTTTTAGTTTTAGTCATAGTTCTTTCAATGTTTAGGATTCTTCAATGTCTTCATATTCTTGAGATTCTTTCGTCTGTTCCGAAGAATCTTTTTTTAAGTTTTAAGCGACTTGATCAATTTTCTCCCATTTCTACAGATCATCCCGTTTTCTCATCTAATCAGGTTCTTCATAATATTCTTCATATTCTTATATTCTTCATATTCTTCATATTCTTCATATTCTTCATATTCTTCATATTCTTCATATTCTTCATATTCTTCATATTCTTCATATTCTTCATATTCTTCATATTCTTCATATTCTTTATATTCTTCATATTCTTTATATTCTTCAATTCCCGTCTGAAATTTTTTTTCTGCGTCTAGGTATTGAATTTATTCCATCGGGTCTTGCAACTTTTATTTTGAACTCTTTCTCGATTTATTTTTTTCAAAATATCGCATCGAAATATCCACCAGTATCAAAAAATACACAACTTTGCCAATTTAGCCGATTATGTAAGTATAATAATAATAAAGATAGTGATGTTATGCTACTCAATTTAAGACACCCTGTATATGAGGAGCAATAACCGATCCCGCTGACGGTCGGAAGGGGTAGGCGAAGACAACGAAAAACCATTTTTTACGTTAAGATCCTTTATTGGAAGGCTGGAAGACGATAGCTCTTAATTTGGGGTTTATAGTTAAAGTTTAACGATCGATTTTTCTGCGTATTTGAATTCTATAGCTCGTTGACATCATAATAAGTTCAGTAAATCTCGGCAACATGTTGTCGGAACTTATTTTTTTACCTTTATTAGTTTTTAACTGCTTCAAACCGTCTAGTAAGCTTCGTGGGGCAGGGAATATTCCGGGGAGTTGCTGCGTTCTTTCGGGTTTCGGCTACCAGCGCGAACAGTGTGTGGTCTAAAGTAAGTCTTCTGCCAGACTCGACTTCGGGCTGCAGAAGCGTATTACTGAAAGATTTTTTTCTATTTTTGAATAAAGAGCAACATTTTCGATTGTCCCGAGAAACTCTGTTCCAAGATCAACAAACCGAAAGCTTCTATTTTTTCTGCCATCATAAAACCAAGTTGTGATTTCGAGTATTTTTGTCGAAACGGAAATTGTCACGCTATTTTCGTGATTGTCGCGGGTAAAAAGAACCAACATTCATAAGCGATGTACCGGAGTGCATCAGTGTTTCTACGGATTACCTTGAGATTAAAAGGAAGTAAAAAGCGTTCCGTCGGAAAAATTAAAACATTCATACTCAGTCAAGGACAAATGAATTTAGCGCACCACAAACAACTATTGTTGCAATTCAGTCGTGAAAGAGAAAAACTTGTTTACCTACGATTAAAAACGTAGACGTTGACGTCCGAAAAGATTCGTCTAAAGAGCAGCGGTTCCCAGAACAAGTCATAGAAGTGAAGGTTTTCGTCATAACCGAACCAATCTACAAGTTCCATGTTTATTCCCTAAGTATTGTATCAACAAGAATGACCGCCCTCACAGGTAACCCGGCCTAGATTTAAGTATCAAAAATCTGGAGTTGGTGCTAAATTTCTTGGAGCACGCGTACTAAAGCAAGGGAAATTTTCTTTGAGGGCGAATATTTTGCATCCCAGCACTTTGGTGGCGAATATTGTAGTGTAAGCTACCGTGATCAACCATTCGGTGCCGAATTTTACTTGGGTCAGATTTTGGGAAGGGGGGGGGGGGATACTTTACTTTGGAATTCAGAAAATTTTGGGGTCGAAAATTTTCCAGCGGAGGAGCAAATCCTCATTTGTGACGAATCCCTCGGAAGCAAATGTACTGAGAGATAATTTTCATGGTAGGTTAACTAACTTGGGAACGAGCTTTATTATATTATCTTCAAAGGGAGATCAAAGCCCGATAGCACTCTTTCCGATAGCTGCTTCTGGGGTCGAGTAATTTTCCTTTCCGGGGGGAAACTTTCCTTTGCGACCAATCTCTCGGAAGCAAATTTAACGAGGGAGAATCGAATATTCCATGGGCTAATAAATTAACTTGGAAAGCGAACGAATATTTCGAGAGCGAGTGCCTATTCTGACGCCAGAAATTCCATTGCTTGCTTTCAATGCCGAATTTTTCGGAGTAGGTACAATGTTTAAGGGGTAAATTTCTAGGGACGAATTCACATGGAGACGAATTATAGTATTAACTGTTCCGACAGAAGAAACTTTGGAATGCAGCAGGCGGCACTTTTTTTCTAAGTCGGCGATCCACTCAACCCTTTGGAGGCGAGCCATTTTCTTTAGGGAGACTCCTTGACGTGCGACTAATCCCTCAGTATATTTACCTAGGAAACACGTTATTGTCCTCCATGTCGATAAACTCTAGAAAACTATGTATAATGTTCTCGTATGGGACTAAAACGCTCCTTTGCGGCTCCAGCCTTTTGTAGAGCTTGGAGATCTTTATAGCGCCCTGTAAGGACTTTAGAGGGCTCTTTAGAAACTCGCTTTTTAGTACTTTATGGCAGAGCTGGGCAGTATTCGATTTTGTAAAAACTTTTTAGTATTCAAATCCCTTAAAGTATTCAAATACTTTGCAATTAAATACTTTTATGGAATAGAAGCAGTATTTGTATTTGTAACTCAAATACTTTCACAAATATCTAGTATTTGAATACTTAACCTTCCTTTTGTTACCAAAAACCTGAACTGAAACAATTTATTTTCGGGTCTCAAAAAAAGGCAGTGTATAACCTTCCTTTTTTACCAAAAAGCGACTGCACCAAAATTTCTCGGGAAAACACTTTTTCTTATTAATTTTGGTGCGTAGAATCCAAAACAATTCGTACTTTTTCGATTAGACTTTTCAATCAAAAGTTATAGACTAGAAACCAATTTCGAAAGAAAATTCAAAGGGCTGTAACTTTTGAACTAGTAGCCCAATCTTGGAACTGTTTGAAATTATGGATTCTACGGGCCAAATTCTATAAGAAAATTTTTTTCCCGGTCGATCTCAGACATTTTTTTTCCGGCCTCAAAAAAAGGCAGTACTTTTAAGTTATTCAAATATTTGAGAACAGTTTAGAAATATTTAGGGAAAGTTTCCATTGTCACAAAATCAAATATAAAAATCCGATACATCTGAATACCGAACTCGATAGTCTACGTAACTTAAAAACAATAGGGACCTTTCTTATATCCTTATAAGACCATGTGTGCCAATTTTCAAAGCGATCGCACGTTTGCAAACAAGTTATCATGCATCGGATGGTCAAAAATGGATCTGTTCCAAAATCGCTAGGATTAATTTCAGAAAGGCGTACTTATCATGTGCACGACGTACGATCGCTTTGAAAACTGGTACACGTATTCTTAAGGATATAACTGGTATAAGAAAGGTCCTGGTAGGTACCTCCTATATAATAATATAATAATAATACGCTTTTACTCCCTTTAAATTTGTATATAACAATAGAAATATAAAAAAAGCTAACCCCATACAAAGTATAACTTGATTTTTTTTTATCTAGTATACTATTTTAAATTTTTAATGTATTTGAGTGACAAGTATTTGAATACTTTTTACTGTATTCGAATACTTTTCAAAGTAAGATAATGAAATACTTTTCAAAATATTCGAATACTTTTTATAGTATTCGAATACCTTTGATAGTATTAGAATACTTTTGAAAGTATTTTTTTAAGTATTTGAATACTTTTCAATGTATCTGTATCTACACCTGTTTCCACTTTTATTCAGAAGACAGCTGTATAAGGCGTACTAATCGCGTCCCTAGTACTGGTACTGGTACTAAACCTGCTTTTCTGGGCGAAGTCCTTTCCACAATATGTCGAGCATATAGCACCAGCAGAGGTTATATACTGTACGAATTCTAGAACCTTTTTAGATCCTTGGAGGAGCTTTAAAGGCCTCGTGGATTTTACGCAAAAAAATACATTGCCGTTTCCCTATATGCGTTCTACCTGGGACATACTGTATATGGGCTATTGTTGAGAAATGACACATTTTCTTTTGTACCTACAGTATTTTTATTTTCTGTATTTGAGAGCCAGTTTTGTTATCATATTTCGTTCACGTTCAAGTTGTATAGAGAATTGTAACCACAGTTGTTGACGTAAAGTTTGTGCCTTCAGCCTTCAATTTAATTTCGTTTTGTTATGTTTTCGTTAATCAATTCCGCCTAATTCATGTTAGTTTTTTGTCACCTATAATTACAGTCCATTAAGCTTCCCTGACAGCTATATGTATACTTGAAAAAAAAAATGTATACAGAACCCATATTATTATATATAAGTACATTTAAGAAACTTTCCTTGTATATATAGGCCCCCACGATAATCTTAAGATTATAGACATTTCAAAGAACTGTTAGAGTGACCTTCAGGGCGTTCCGGAAAGGAATTTTTCGAAACAGTTGTAATGTTCCTAGGGGTCCTCAGGAGGTGCTGGAAATATTGACTTACCCTGTACTTACAGTTGGCAACTCTGGGGAAACAAATCGCAGACA